CGCCGCCCTCAGGCAAGCAGTGCTGGGCTGACAATTCAGCTGAAAACTGTTTTGGAAAAAGAACGCTTAAATTGACTAGTTGCGACAGGTCTTGCGTTGGAGACGGCGGGGGCTTGGCAGAAACTTGGGAAAAAGAACTTGTAACTTGATGCAAACCTGACGGCTTCGCGCTAACCTTGCAGAAGCCCGAGGCTGGCGGAAACCCGCCCGGAACCTACCAAAACCCGGCGAAGCCGGGCGGAACCCGGCGGAACCCGGCGGAACCTGGCGGAAACCTGGCGGAAACCTGGCGGAACCCGGCGGAAAAAAAGTAAGTTAAAAGGGGGGGTGGTTGGGAGTATAACTTTTGGCATGGCTTATACTCCCAACCCCCCCCTTCAATGCCCTTCAACTTACTTTTTTTCCCGCCAAGTTTCCGCCAGGTTCCGCCGGGTTCCGCCGGGTTCCGCCGGGTTCCGCCGGGTTCCGCTGGGTTCCGCCGCTCCGCTGGGTTCTGCTAGGTTCCGCTGGGTTCCAGGCCTTCGCCAGGTCAGTTCCGCCAGCTTGTGCCGGGTTCTGCCGTTTCCGCCAACAAGGTTCCTGCTACCGACCCCCCCTTCAATTCATTGCTAGGATTGTACCAGGTTCTTGCCAGGCGTCTGTCAAGGTTGCAGCAATCAAAGAAGCGTTTTTTGCAAGTGCCCGGACATTGTCCAAGTCGGCTTATGGAAAAAATCACCAATAAGATGGCATTCCTGGTGGAGTAGCAGATCTTGTTTGCTGTGACCCCATGAAGAGGGATGCAATATTGATTTTCGATTTTCATTGTTCAGCTTTTCCACGTTGAAACGTGCCAACATGTACCAAATTTCATTGACTTTTGCGTTGAACACATTTGCCATTGAAAATGACCGTAAATTTGGCTTGGCCAGAGCTAGTTCGCGCGCCTTGCCGGGCCTCTTGCAGGCACATTTGCCCCTAATTTTGCTTGTCCATCAATGGTTCGGATGGTCTGCCATACGACTTGCCGGCACAAATGCCATGGCTTTTCGTTCCCACAGAGTTAACCACAGGTTCTGCCGCTAAGTTTGCCGGCCACAAAACCAAAGAAATCGGGTTTCTTGAGTTGCGCCAGCCCTTCTGCCGGTGGTTTTACCGTCCCTTTAGCCACAGTTTTGGGTCAGTTTGGCCCAAAAAGTAATTATGAGTGTTTATACTACCTCGCTACTTTCAATATATACATATGAACAGTGGTTAGTGGTTTCTTAAAGTGTGGGGAGCAAATCAATTATCAACAACATAAAACATGTGTAATAAAACTATCTTAGGAAAACTATTGGCGTTCATCCCCAAGCTTGGCATCCCAAAGATTGTCACTGTAGATTTATGTAGATTGGCAGTTTGTTTACAACAGACACATTTATGGCCCGACTAACAGTTATAATTGGGCTTGTAATGATATATAACTTTTATATAACCTCAGATATAGGAGTTATATGGAGTTATGTCATTCCATCAAAATAACTGTTAAATAAGGGCCATAACTGCATTAACTATAGTTACATCACCTCTTGGGTATTATGACTGGGAGATTTATGTAGGTTACAACATATCACAACCCCCATGAACCATAGTTACACCACCCAACCTCTTTAGGATCGCGGTTGGCTCAGCCAGGTTCCCCCAAGGGCCATTGGAAGCCCTTGGGGCATCCGGATTTTCTGGAGTCCTGGGACGGCGAAGTGCCTGAGACACGTGGGAGTCGCGGCTTTTGTTTGCTTGGAAAATGTTGGAAGATAGTGATCGTTTATCCAACAAAAAATGTGTTTTAATGGGATTGATTTATCCAACCAAAATTGTGTTTTAATGGGATTTATCCAATGGTATTTATCCAACAAAAATGTTGGTTTTTCCAACAAAAAAAGGTGGTTTTGTGATATATTTATCCCACAAAAATGATGATATGAATGGGATTTAAGCAACAAAAATGTGGTTGAATGGGAGTTAAAAACGCAGAAACATTGTGATTTATATAATGGGATTTAACACAGAAAAACATGTGGTTTATTCAGATTTCACCAACAAAAAGGTGCTATAATGGGATAGAATGTGGAAATATCTTCAATCTACAGATTTTTTTTTGCCAGTGGGAAATCTACTTTCGGGAACCTATAGGGAATATGTTTTCTTTTGGAGAGTATATGAGGGAAGGGGGTCCTTGAGCAAATCCATTGAGTTTGGAGGTGGATTTGGGGTTTGAAAATCGAGATCTACCAAGCCATGTTATGCGGATTTAACATGGCAATAGGGATATCGATATTTGTCGCAACCCACAAACACAAAGTAACATCCTACTTAAATACAATGTTAGATTTCACATTCACGCTCCAGCTCAAAGGTACGTGTCTCCCTCAAAAAAATTGCTTTTCCCTAGATCTAGTATATTACATGGTTGGGATTGCATAGGTGCATATATATATATATATATGATGAAGCTCAAAGCTACCTTGCTGGCTCACTGCCTCCTTGCTAGCTCAAAGCTCAAAGCTACCTTGCTGGCTCAGTGCCACGTAGCTGGCTCAGTGCCACGTAGCTGGCTCAATGCCACGTAGCTGGCTCAGCGCCCCGTAGCTGGCTCAGCGCCACGTAGCTGGCTCAATTTTTTTAGCGAAAAAAAAAAAAAAACCTCGCATAAATTGAGCCGGCTACATGCCCTTGAGCCGGCTCGCCAATGCGTCATGAACCCGGCCAATACATAGCTAGTATTCGTTTTGATGCTCTCACATTCGTCCGCCAGCTCAACGTGACGTAGCTGGCTCAATTTCTGCGAGGTTTTTTTTTTTTTCGCTAAAAAAATTGAGCCAGCTCGATGCCATTGAGCTAGCTCGATGCCCCTGAGCCAGCTACGTGGCATTGAGCGAGCTCGATGGTGCTGAGCCAGCTCGTTGCAGTTGAGCGAGCTCGCAGAAACTTCCCAATCTGTTAAATTGCATTAAATTGCCAGGTTCAATCCCCACTGATTACTTTAGTACTAGATATGGTACCTCTGAAAAAGCCCAAGGTGACTGTCAAAACATACCCCTGATGAAATTGAGCCAGCTACATGTTTTGAGCTAGATCGAAAAAATGGAAGATTGGGAATTCCAACATTAGATTAAATAGTGATAAAGTACGGTTTGATTTTTAGTATTTTATTTGGATAGGTAGAGCTATATGTAGCAGTAAACCATCATCCTGGACCCTGGATTGGATTCTGTGTGTTCCGGGTTTGGAAAACTCCGATCTATCCAGGTACAATTTTTTCCAGGTAAACACAGATGAGTTGTCGGACACCTTTTTTTTACAAACGAGTTGCAAGCTGCCTATGTGGCCTATGTGGTGAGTTAAGCGAACGTAACAATGGAAGCTAGCCATGATTTGGCAGGGTTGGTTTGGTTGGCAGGGTTGGTCGTTTACACAAGAAGTTGGGGAAGGAGAAGCATTTGATGACGACCCACCAAGGGGAAGTGAGGATGTGGGGCGGCCAGTGGGCAAAGGAATGGGGACTTATGGAAGTCCCGGACTGGGGACCCAAACACAATGAGGCCACCATGCAGTTCAAGGCACTGGAACATCCTTGCTGCAGGAGGACCTCATCCAGGGGATTGCGCTGGAACGACGACCTGGAGGACATCTGGCACAAAGAGGTGTGCACTCGTGGGCCTCCCCACTTGAGTAAGAGGAAACCAGTCGAAGGACAAGGAGATGCGGCTCTTCAAGGAATCTTTGGCCGCTTGGGGGAATTGGGGGGCGATTTGAGGCTCCTCAGAGACGGAATGAAGCCACCCAGGGCCCATAAAGATGAGGAACGTAGAGATCAGGGACGAGATTGGGCCTGGGGAAGATTGGATTCGTGTCTGGAAGCGCTCCGAGCTTTTGATCTCTTTGGGGCAGTGCTGAGGGTTCTTGAAGCAGCATCGCTCGGAATCTCGGCACCCTTTGCCGCATTGACGGCAATGGGTGGGTCTGGCAGAACATGCCCATGGTGATCCAGCCTGCCCATCCATAGCGTTGGAAGGCTGTGCCCATCGCACAAGGAATGGGTTGATTTCAACTAAAGAATAAAGTTTCCAACAAATTGTGCTCAAACCCGTGGGAACATATCTGAACAGGAGTTGTTTGCGAACTTTTGCTGGATCCAATTCACATATATGGGTGTTTCTTAAAATGATAAATGGGGATTTCCCAGTCACCATTGGTTTTACTGTAATACAAAAACTATCTAATTTTGGATGATTTAATATTTGGGGGTACCCCCATTTTAGGAAACTAACATATACATATATATATATATACATACACATATCCACTTGGATGAAACATATACTCCCCCTCGCAATGCCGCCCGCATAGAGCCTAAACCATCTAGATCCAAGGCCAAACCAAAATTTCTAGGGAAATTACAATGACGGCCGCGAAGACAAGTAAGTTGATTGATGTGTAACTCCAAAATCCTGGAATTATAGCTGATATATTATATCTATAGTATTCTATAGTCGGATGAAGTCAGACGGGTTTATAAACCAACCTATAACTGGGGTCTCATACAGGGGATAGGATTTCAAAGATACACCATTGATGGTTGCTGCATTGGTGGGGATTTCACGCGTAGCTGGTTGTCTCTACCGCTGTCTGTCACACAGCACTAAAGTCAAAGGCGGAAAGCACTTGGAAAAAACAATGATTGTTGCTGCGTCACTTTGGAGCTTGAACCCACGCCCAAGAAACATGGTCACAGTTGTCTCAGTATTTAGTTTGTGTGTGTGCATGTTTTTTTCTTTATGAGTTACATCAGAAAAATGTATACGCTGCAGTTTGAATTTGTTTTTGTCAATCTTATTCATACATATACGGCTGTATCGTTGTATACTATTTGAACTACTGTATTTGTTTTTGGGTGGTCAGGGTGAGGGAGAAAGAGGGAGAGTCAGAATGTTGCAGCCGCTGAGGTGGATACCTTCCACGATGCTCCCACGCCGGAGATGTTCTGGACCAAGTACCATGCCCACCGGAGGTCGAACACGTCGAACACGTCGAGCGCCGGGATGATCAAAGGGATACGAAAAAATGGTGGTTAATGATGGTTAATGATATGATAATTCAATACCCCATCCTGTTTGCTTTATAGCTTTACAATTGACAATGGGGAACTGAGTCAAAACCCTCATATCTTTTATATATTTTATATTTTATACATACATACATACATACATACATACATGCATGCATAAATACATACATACCCTAGCTGGTTTATATGGTAATTTTATAGGTTTTTACCCATCCCCATGTAGAATCATCACGTGGATGTGTTGGAGGTCCTCAATCACTACAATCACCGGCTGTTCGCTGATTGTTTCACTTATTACTAATCAACAGACCCCAGTTCGAGGAACCTTCAGTGACTATAGAAAACTCATAATATATATATATATATACATATTATTTCTGGTGGTGTCCCGAACTTGTTGACACCAGATTTGAAAATGATTTCCGCTGAAATATAACCAAGATATTGACAATGCATGTGTTCATCCAGTGACACCCATTAATGAAAATACCCGATTTCTCCAAACAAAACTGGGATACTTCATAGGGTTTAGCACTGGTAGTTCCCCCCAACATTACAAGGCATAGCAAAGCCATATTTTGGATTTGCGTAGAAAACCATGTTGGTCATTGATACTTCACAGAAGGTTAGTCCAAATGGTGATCTGGGTTCTGAAAATCAAAAGCAACGCAAACAGCTCAACCAGAACAGGAGTTGCCACAAGAAGAAAGAAGCTCCTCCGCCCAGACCACATCCATATTTGAACGAGCTACAAGATTTGAACAGTGGCACCAAGAAAGAAATGAATCAAGTGTACCGAAGGAAGGTGACCACATATTTTTGCACATATGGCGCCCGTCGAAGCACTGCTGATCCATGTCTGTGAAACCAACTCTTGGTTTTTCATTCCATGATAACACTGGGATACAGTGTGTATATAGCAATAATATGCCACAATGCGGGTGGTATGTTTCAGATCACCTAAAAAAGGTGGTATTGCAGAGTTTGGTTCTCTGGCTTGACTTGACCCCCATGAGCTAGTTCGATATATCAACCATAAGTATCCATAAGTTATTGTACTTATAAACCAGCTTAGCTATCATAAATCACCTTTTTTCATCCCCATGTTGCTGTTTGATGGTACACAATTCACTGTTTAACTGTTGATACTGTTGGTAAAAACATGTAAAAACAATAGGGGTTTATATAAAAAAAAACGAGACTTGGATAGATCATCTACAAATCCTGGGGCACCAGCGTTCCCCCCTTGGCCCCTACCAGGCCCTTCATCGTGAAGGGAGCTGTGACTGAGTCGGCGGCGATGAATTGGACGGACCAGATACTTGGTGCAGCAAAGTCATGGGAAAAGCCATGGAGATACAGTATGAATCATGCTAATGAAAATCAATGGGATGATACTCGTGACAATTACGGACAATTGATGCGATAATAAACAATAATATTAATATACATAATATATATATATAAATAAAACAAGGGATGTAATTGATGGGATGAAAAATATCCCCCAATATTCAATAATAGTACTATAGATTGGGATATTAATAGTACTACTACTGGATTTTTATTCAATGGGATATGAATGGGATAAGAAGAAAAGGTAGTACTTGTCCACGATTCATGTCAATTGAGGAACATATGGCTGCAGCTACAACAGGTATATCATGTATATGTTTGAAGCGGATATAATATATATATATATATATCTTATACATAGATACACACATATATATATATATATATATTATACGTGTATATATATATACATACATACACATAACTTTGAGTGGTTTCGTTCTGTGGGTTTAAATCCATCCCCACAAAATCAAATCCATCATTGTACTTGGAGGATGATGCCATATGAGATAAGCCACTTGTCGAGGACTGGACCCCAACCAGGGCTATTTTGACATGTGGGATGATCCTCCATATGTCGGATATGTTGGTTTATTATTTAGCAGCAAAAGATGGACGAGCAATGGGCGATTTCAGGACGAACACCCATCCCCTATAGGCATCCGTTGTCAAGCAAAAATATGGTGATTGGAGCATCCAGAAATGGGAAGTTTTTCTGGAGATAATCACTTTGATTCTTCAGTGCTCGATCACTGACCTGGATGCGAAGATGAAAGAGGCCATTGAGATGGCTCTTCAGATTGGACTACCCAAAAGCGATCCAATGGGAACAGGACAAAAAGGAGCAGGCAAAGGATCCGTATCGGCAGACCCGGATGTCTTGGAATATGAGACCTATGTTGGCTCTCTTTCAGGCTGCATAACAGAAAGGGAGTTGCCTCTTGAAATCGAAGAAAAGAAGATCGAGGGTCTGATTGAGGCTGTCCTGACTGGATTCAGATTGACTTTCAAAAACCGCCATATCCCATATCCATGGGATTTTGCCGTGGAATCCCCATGTGTTATCCACAACGATTCAGTTAGTTTTAGTCGTCCCCTGTGGATGATGAATTCCCTATGGATCAGCCACAACATGCCCTTCCAAGGTACATCATGGATCACTTCGGCGACGAAGTGGCCAAGGTGAGATTGCGAAACGCGGCGTGCTGTGGAAAAAGTGACAACCAGAGTTGGTTGGCGGTAGCAATTTTACCAACCAAAGTAGTGATTGAATATGATTCAACTATTTAACATAGGGATCTAACATGATCTAACAAGTTTCAACATGGGTTTGACCATCAACAGTGGGAATTTCACAATACTACTAATATGGTATATGTGGGGTTAAAATCAAACACATTTAACCTTCGACCATCTGGAAGGCCGTTTGAAAAGAGGGTCGAAGCTTGGTGATCCCCATATATTTCTTGGGGGAGGAACATCTATATGTGCATATATATATATATATTATAATGATAATATTATGATGTATTTATCCGTCATGTTTTTCTCCATACCGAACTGTTTTGAAGACATTTGATGGACATATTCGAAATATAGCCATGTATGAATATATATATATAATTATAAATATATATATATATTATATATATATGTACATTTTTGTTTGTTCTGCATGATGTACCACATTGATGATTAACCTATACTCTTCACAGATCGATGAACTCATCTTGCGAGGGACGCCATTGCCACGCCATGCCAGGTGGAGTGGAGGAATGAAGATCGGCTCACGGACTATTGTGGCCAGCAGATCAGGGGGAAATACATCCACTGTCCTCAGGAGATAGCGCCATCATGGCGATGAAATCCTGTTGCCATGATGGCGATCACCGTTTTTTCGGTGGCGATGACGACGGAAATGACGAAGTTCGACCATTTGGGGATCCCCAAATTTGCTGAGCTGAACTTGTTCAGGTTGGTATTTTTTTCTGTAGTTTAACATAGCTGTTGAAAATGACTTTTTGTATAGTTGATTTAGCTATTAACTATCGTGATTTTCAATAGCTATGCTAGTTTACCAGGTGATCATTATGATTTGTCCAGATAGTTAAGATCCCGAAGACCATCGAATCTATCATGACCTATCCAGACTGATGCAAGAAAGGGAGACCAACCAACCAGTTCATGAAGAAATCAGGTTGGTGAACTATCCAAATTTGCCCAGATAGGGAGGGCTTGGTGAAACTTGATGTTAGCGTGTTTTTTGTTTGAGTAAAACAAGATTAACAGCGGAGCTAGCGAGTGTGTACACATGCAATTTACATAAACATGTAAATTGCCTCTTCATATACACAGAGCTTGACAGACATATTTCAAGGATTTTCAAGGGCTAATGAGACGACCTCAGAATTTGGGGGTTAGATTCATGTTTTGGGGCAACGATTCTCTTCTACCCTCTGGTAAACTAACATAACTATGGAAAATCACACTGTTTATGGGTAAATCAACTATAAATATCCATTTTCAATAGTTTTTTGTATGTTTACCAGAGGGTAATATGCTGCAATGACGGTGGCAGATGCATTTGGCTTTCTCCCAACATCTTCAGCATCCCAGTGAGCTCAATGACCATATCCCCCATGGCATGAAAGATCCCCTGTGGAGGTTTCCTAAAATGGGGATACCCCAAAATCATTTTACCAATGGGAAACCAACGCTTTGGGGCTTTGGGGTACTCATATTTTTGGAATCCTCAGCATCATGGTCTGTTGTGCAAGCGCTTCAAGTGAAGCTCCGTTCCTTCTGTTATGCGGATGGATCAAAATCTACTATATATCTATATTATGCCGCAGCCATCTTTGGGAGATGAAATATATGATGAAATCATATGATGAAATTGATGAAATCATATGAAATCATCTAATAGTACATCCACTAATGCTAATTTACCATAGCATTTACCAGGTAATTAGATGCGCAGCTTCTTTTTGTGCAGCAAACAGCGCAGCTGCTGCCAATCCACCAGGACACCATCCCATACGTCGAGTCGCGCACGAGCATTCGAAACTTCATCCAGAAGAGTCAGAAGGATCCCAGCTGGGCCAAGTGCCTCGTGGAAGGACTTTCCCACGGAAAAACTCGGCCCAGGTCAAGGATAAAGAGAAAGATTGAAGTGCATTTACGTGTGTTTATCTATGTGTATATATATATATATGTATGATGTATATGAAATATGTTGATGCGGTTTGAATATGTATACTACCGGAGGAACCAATAGCGGTTCTGTGAAGTTCTTGTTGATGGTGAGAAGTCTGCTAGTATCAGTGTAGAGAACAACAGTTGTTGGTGCTTAATTCGGGCAAGTTGCAGCAGTCGTCATTAAGTTGCACTCAACCGCGTGATACCATTTGTGTGCGCGTCTGAAAATGAGGGATATCCCTATCTTTATTTTTGCGTTTTGGTGTCTAAAAGTCTGAAGTATTTCTTCTTGATATTCCTTGGGTATGCCGACATGGTGAATGGTGATGAATTTGTGAACGGTGCCCAGCATAGCCG